CCTTGCGACGCGTCAGCGCTCACCTCCACTGTCTGCTGGACAGTGGAAACATGGAATTATAATATAACTTATCTTTATTAATATATCGTAAATAAAATATCGTGCTCAAAAATTTGTCACATAGATACTTAGTTGAATGTTTATGTATGAAGAAGTAAAAGTAAAAGTCAAAAGACGTTTTGAAAAAAATTAGGAGAATCTTTTGAAACTCTAATTCAAAATATCTTTATTTCATAAAAAAATATATGTTTGAAATCGTCTTTTATGTAGACTGTAAAGTTATAGATCAACTCACAATAGCAACCATCTCTGTTTTTAACCGACTTCCAAAACACAAAAGAGGAGGTTCTCAATTCATCTGTATTTTTTTTTATGTATGTTTGTTACGCGATTTCTCCGTCAATTGTGGACCGATTTTCAAAATTCTTTTTGTAATCGAAAGTGTATGCTCCCGAATTGGTCCCATTATCACCAATTCAGGATCTGATGATGGGATCCTAGAGAAACCCTCACAATTATGGGGAATTTGACAGCCTCGACAACGTGTTTTAGCTACGAGTATTTCTTTAGCCAAACAAATCATGGCAACCGTCAGAGACTGCGCGATGTGATGCGCAGAGAACTTGCAGTATTTATGTCACCACAGTAATTTTCGTTGTATTAAGAAGAAAAGGTTGAAATTTTGTATTCTATCTTGTTAAAATAATTCGGATAGACGTTTTGTTGCTATGGATGGCATCGCATTTCGTTTGTAAGTAGTTTTATACTTAATTTATTAAAATGGTTCTGGAAAAAACTCTTCAATTTTGTGTGGGTCAACTAGGTTAATTTCTAACATACCAGTATTAACCCTTCTAGTTGGAACTCCTTCTATAAAATATTGAGCATATTTTTTGAGTAGTCTCACTAAAGCTTCCCTATCTTCACCTTCGTGATCAGTGTCAATTGAATCGTAAGTTATTTTGTTCGGTTGCAACTCACAAGAATTTGACTGTTTCTTAGAAAAGAATTTAAGCTGATCTTGATCAGTTTGGACGCCAATGTCATTTTCATATCCTACACTAAAAATGGTAAAATAAACCCTTTTAAAAAAAAGTTGAACCGACTTCAAACAACACCGACAAAGAGCACTAAAAATTAAAAAAAAAATTACAAATCTAAGTAAAAAAACTATAATAAGTACCCTCAATGTAACAGGTAACATTATAATACCGATAGTCCCTTCTAGTCTGTTTGAAGTCGGTGCCAAGCTCGATGCACAATAAGTAATACTGGTCTATGTCAGCTTTATATTAGCACAAAGAAAAATTAAGAATTCAAAATAATTCTAATGAAACATCGAAGATTTTGTTAATTAATAAAGACCAACCAGATCAATTACGTGCGCAAACTTATCAACTACTTATTAAAGCATTCAAAATAATAATATAATTGGCAGTGGGCAATTAAAGGCTGTTGATGTGTGATGTGAATAGTCGCCAGTATGCTCTCAGGTAATTTATTGATTATTTATCAACTTATGCGATCTTTCTCGAAATTTAATAGTTTTAATATTTTTATAAAATACAATACAGATACAATATACCTTATCCAAAATTGCTATCAAAATAAATTGATAATGGATTATAACTACTGGGGATGGAATAAAATCACAAGAACAAGTGAAAAATCATATCATCAGACCTGTGACCGATTCACAAAACCACTGCTACTTTATTGTAATTATTACGCTAGCGCAAGACTCGCGAAAAAAGAGTTTCCGAGACACATGCATTATCGGATTATATCGCCCACCAAGTCAAATTAACACAGTAAGCTTTGTCGACTCAATTAATTCCTTACTAAACCAATTCAAGACCTTCAAAAACAATTACTTTTGTGGTGATATAAATATCAATATAGTTCCAAACAGTCCTGATAAGCGATCTTACGACTATCTGAACACCTTACTACATACCTGCTCATACATTACCCACGCATGGGCTTTATTTTCGAAACATCAATCACAGATCATGAGAGTGTGGCTATTAGCTGTAGACATAAATCTCGTTTGAATTACCTAAATAAAACGTATCACCTAGTTAACTACGTAAATCTCGATAAAACTTTTGAAAACATGGACTTTCAGCCCATCCTTAATAGCCAAGAACCAAACTTTTGCGCTGATCTTCTCGTTTCATACCTGTCCACAGCTATAAAAAATAATACAAGTATAGTCAAAGGCACAAATAGAAAATTAATAACCAAGCCATGGGTGACTGAAGGTATACTCCGTTGCATGAGAAACCGGGACAACCTCCATAAAAAGCTTAAAAATAAACCTAACGACGAGACCATTAAGCTTACATACAGACGCTACCCAAATTTTTGCAATTCTTTAATAAAAAGAACAAAAAAGAGATATTAAAAGCAGGAGATTCAAAATCCAAAGAGTAACAAAAAACAGCTTTGGGATGTTATTAAAAAATAAGTATGACTGTTAGGAAAACTGATAGTTCATCATCTCTCTTGTCACCTAACAGTCCTGAAAAGGATATAAACAAAGTTAATCATTTTTTTTCAAACGTTGGCGAAAACCTGGCCAGAAAGGTATCCCCCGCTAAATCTTCTTTGCCCAAAATAACGCAAAATTATCATTCAGCAGCCACTCTAAATTCATTTGTCATTCTTCCAGCCGACGAAAAGGAAGTTTTTACCCTTATGAAAGGTCTCAAAGAAAACTGTGCTGTAGGTATTGATCAAATCACTACTAAAACTTTAAAGAGGTATGCAAGCATCCTTACCTCTCCTTTAACGCATATCTGTAACTTGTCCATTTCTACAGATATTTTCCCTGCAGCGTTCAAAACAGCAGTTATCAAACTCATCCATAAGGCTGGTGAAAGAGACTGTGTTAGTAACTACCGTCCAATCTCCATACTACCAGCACTGTCTAAAGTTCTGGAGCGCCTAATAAACCAGCGACTCATAAAATTTCTCGAAGTTAATAATCTCCTCTCCCCCTCTCAATACGGCTTTCGGACAGGTCGATGTACTAATGATGCGGTTCATGAATTGCTGAACTCTATCGTCACCGACTTAGATGACAAAAAGAAATGCCTTGCGCTGTTCCTTGACCTTCAGAAGGCTTTTGACACTGTCTCAATCCCGCACCTATTACAAAAATTAGAAGGGCTTGGTATAAGAGGAACTCCTCTAAAATTGATGGAAGACTGTCTTACTGGCAGAAAACAGCGCGTGAGGATAAACCATGTACTAAGTGATGAGTTGAGTATCAAATATGGCGTACCGCAGGGCAGCATTATTGGCCCGACACTTTTTCTGGTGTACATCAATGACCTTTGCCAACTTCCTATCAATAATGGTAGGATTTTTACATTTGCTGATGACACTGCACTATTTTTTTGGGAGTTGGGAGGCGGTCTTCGCCATGGCTCAACTAGGTTTTGATAGGGTTGGTGAATGGCTGCAAAGCAATATCTAGACGTTAAACATCTCCAAAACAAAATATATGGCCTTCGCACATAGAGCTAACCTGCTCCCATCTTCATCTTTAACCCTAACCGCCCACACTTGTACCTATGAAAGTTCTGACTGCTCTTGTCCGTCTCTTGAGAGAGTTGAGAGTGTTAAATACCTTGGGGTGATTTTTGACCAACATCTTACATTTAAACCTCATATTGAGACCCTTGTATCTAGATTACGAAAACTTATATATATATTCAAAGCATTAAGGCACTCGGCAGACCGTGAGACTCTCAAAATGGTCTATTATGCACTGTGTCAATCTCTTATTGATTATTGCATAACCTCATGGGGAGGTGCGGCCAAGACACACCTTATTGAGATTGAAAGAACGCAACGTGCTATTTTGAAGGTTGCTGCTAGCCTCCCCTTACGTTACCCAACTGCAGACCTATATCGCGAATGGGACATACTTACTGTAAGACAAACATTTATTTTGCAAACTGTACTTAAAAAACACTCCGAGCTTCAGTTTGACGTTAACCTTCTCAAAGATAAGCGACGAAAAGGTAAGGTAGTTTAAATTTCAAATCTTCACTCTCTCAAAGATTCTTCTGTTTTCTTGGGTCATATATTTACAATAAAATGAACAGTATCCTTAACATATAAACCAAAAGTAAATTTGACTGTCTGCAAATGCTAAAATGTTATCTGAAAACCCTGGATTATGATACAACTGAAAATTTAATGACCATCCTCAAATAAAGCCCTATTCTGAATATTCCCTAACCCTCCTATCAGTAATTTCAAACTCTCAACACAATCTCATGACACTTTCTACATTAGTCACTATCACTTACGCACAATCTCGTGCTCATTCACTCACAAAGACACCCATACATACACACACACGAACACACACACACACACACATTTCTATTTTCATTTTAATTATTTTTTGTAAGTAAATAATGTTTGTCCTCTTTGTTTTCTCTTTGGTATTGTAATCGTTTTAGTTTGTTTAATTGTTAAATTTCTCACCCGGTGTATTGACTGTCTCCTATATCCACGCGGAGGGCCTGGTGACCTGTAACACAGGTTTCTTTTTTAACCTACATCAGGCACCAGTCCTTCACAAATGTGGATTTAAGAAGCTAGCCTAGTACTTTATTATTTTGTTAAGGTATCCATTTGTGATAAGAGAATAAAATATTATTATTATTATAATTAAATTTCAAGCCTTGAATAACTGTGCAACCATTTTTCTTCTGTTTTACAGAAATCTGTTTTGGCACAGTTTTATTGAGAGAAAAATCAGGTATGACTCAGTGATGAATCAGTGAAAAGGGATAATGAATAAAATTATAGGACATAATATTATACAAAGCTACAAAAAGTTGGTATTTCTAAATATGAATCATCTGAGGACAGGTTCACTAAATTGCATAAAATGCACAAGAAATTCACTCCACTGCCAGTATCGAATCATTGATTGTACATATCGGACCTAGTTTACGACTAAAATGTTTTCTAACATGTTTGTGAAAGGGTTTCTATTGTTATTTGGTTGTTGGTTGGTTGTTTATATCAACGCCAAGGCTTTAAAAAATTCACCAGGATTATCAGCTACTGACAATACGGTGGAATTAAAAGAAGAACTTGATTCGATATCAACTTTGAAGACAACTTTCGTTGAACAGCAACCACCAGTTTTGACAACAGCTTCTGGTTTTTCTACAGATACTCTGCAGATTTCATTAGACAATCCTACTATTGAAGACCGTGATACTTTGAAAGTAAAACCCTGTGCAATAGGCTACCATCGGGAAAGTCGTTTTTGTGTATTCAATAATACTGAATTTGAATATGACTAAATAATGTAACTTATTTTTTTTAATATAACTGTATTATTATTATAAATATGAATGTGTTTTATTAAAAGTAGTTCTAATTAAATAATTATGTCTAGTTAAACATACTAATATCATTATTTTTTATGTTTAATATGCCCGAGTAATTTTTTTGGCAACAAGTAAATTTATCTTTTTGCACATTAGGCTCCTTAAGGGACTTGGTGATTATCACGCCGCAGTTTACCCCGCCTTCATAGGGACGTAGCGTGGTGTAAATAGCTTATAAACTTGCTCAAGAACTGCAATAGCGTCAAATGCAATCTATACAAATAAATAAAATTGAAGTGTCGTGTGTAATGTCAAAATAATAGGTTTTTCTGATTTCTGTCATGATTACACGGTTATTTGGACGATTCCTATGCCTAAAAACCAGTTTAAATATATGTCTGTCTGTTTGTTAAGATTACCCGATCTTCAAAACGGCTGGACCGATTTTGATAATATTTTACTACCAAGTAGCTGTCTATGTAAGAAGTAACTTAGTCTATTTTTTTTCTCTCAGAAAAACCCTATAAAAAAATTTCTGGTCCGGGAATGGAACTCACTTTCGCATGGAACAAGGCAGCGCTTTTCAAATTCCACGCGAACGAAATCGCGGGCACCAGCTAGTAAAGAAATAAAGATCAAATCAAGTCCTATAGCCTGTTTGTCTATTTTATAATCTCATATAGCTTATCAGAAAATTATTCTGATGACTTATTTTAGCAAAAGTAAGTGATTTACACTAATTTTTATAAGTAAAGAACACTTTGCGCCTTTTGATGCTGCCTTTTTCGTCGCTACTAAGTTACGTAGAATTTTCATATGTTGTTTTATTATTCACCGGTTTTTTATTGTACTTTTTGTGAAACAAACAAATCAAATATGGAAAAACACCCAGTAAGTACGAAACTAATACATATTGGGTATCTATTTCTTAGCTTTTATGCTTTTAGAATCTGTATTCTAAATGGATTTATGTATTACTAGCTGACCCGGCAAACGTTGTATTGCAAAACCAAAAAAAATTAGGGATGGGTCACCCTTACCATTTAGGGGTATGAAAAATAGATGTTGACCGATTCTCAGACCTATACGATGTGCACACAAAATTTCATGACAATCGGTCAAGCCGTTTCGGAGGAGTACGGGAACGAACATTGTGACACGAGAATTTTATACATAAGATATCTTTATTAATAAACCTAAAGAGCTTCATTTTGTGGTTAAACTCACTAGTCTCTGAAACGAATAATCAGATAAAAAATATGTTTTAGCATTTAATAGCTGAATGATATGTTACAGCTCTTAGAATTAGAATAGTTAGAAGTAAAGGCTACAAAAGTACCTGTAGATGTGAGAAATGGCTAATTGAAAATAAACCTAATTACTTTAGAAAGAAGATAGAAGGGTAAAAGGTAACTTAGTGTAAATTAAAACAGTAGCTCCATTGAACTAATGGATAACTTATTATATCTTTTATTTGGAAACTAATCATCTAATCAAGACTACTTCTTAATTTACACAATAAGTATAAATCATTAACATAATTCGTTATGAATGTATTAGCACTTATAAATAAAATAGGTCTTTAAATAATTTGTTTTAAAGTATTCGCATTGAAGAATGCAAGGATACATTTATAAGGAAAAATAAAATGATGCAAATTAAATAAATCGTGCATGAAGGTGTGAAGCGATTGATCATGTAGATTATAGTAGATATATTGAGTATTTTGTTACATTCATCTGATGATGTAATCGTTTAAATGTAATTACAGTGCAAGTGCTTTAACACAAAAAAAACTGATTAAAAGTAGTTCTGAAGTATGTTTTAATTGTTAGAAATAGCGTATAAATTTTGATGTTTGGCTTAAGGTGAAATTATCTTAAAACCTATTTGTTACTGAACATTCAGGTTACTTTATAAGGAGGAATAAAAACCTCATTTACCGATTCAGAAAAGGATAGTATAAATGGTAAGGCTGGTCAGTACAAAAATATTATAAATGGCGTCCAAAATGGCGCCTCCAAATGAATGATAATACATGGCTACATAATTAATATAACCTAATTGAAAAAAATTGTCGAGATTAATTAATTTCGGATAATTTTAAATTGAACAGGTACGCTCAAAAATCACACTACAATTACGGCCATCTAAAAAGAATATTATGATCCTATGTTCCTGTTTTTTTTTAATTTAATAATATCGTGGATCACCAACTCAACAGAGAGCCGATAGTGAATTGGTATGTCGAGCTGAAACAGAATAAAACCATACAGTGTTCCGTCGCAAGTGAAACTATTTTAAGTTCAATACCTTTAAAGGTAAAAATACAGTAAAATAATATAAAGTTTTTAAAAATAGCAGGGAAGAGACTTGGTTAAATACTAAAGTGAGTCAGTTACAAAGTAAAAAAAAAATGCTATAAAATCGCCTCTGTAGCCCGTGGTTAGACTTAAGGGCAACGAACTGGATTAAGCCCTGGATTGTGATTCATCTTCATAAATGTGAATATCAAGTAACGGAATTATTATTATAATGATGATACTGCACATATTTTATGTTTATTGTGCCTCAACCACAATTCCCTAACTTGGCTATGTCGGCAGACGTCACATGCTCTATGACACGTTTATAAACGTTACGTTTTACCCTTTCAACGAAATGATGTCAAACGTGTGTCACTTAAAATTGTGACTAAGATGGCGTCATTGGGTGTACCTACAGTGCTTCAAACATATCCCTGAAGTTATGAGTTAGATCATATCCTAGGCATTTAAAAGCAGATTTACACAATTTAGAGTATTGATGAGCCATTAATTTAAAACCCAAATCTTTCAGTACAGTATTTTCTTTAAAAAGATTACCAAATTTGCAACACGGGACTCATATTACTAGTACAGTTTAATCCAAATATTTGTATGACAAAAATATTTATGTTCGTGGTGTTCGAAGTTAAACGAATCACAAGGTGTTTGTAGCCGCAACCTCTCACAAATTCAAAGTTTTAGCCATTGCGCTACTGTCGTATTGTTATCCACCGATAACGATATAAACATATTTCCAACACCTTATTTATCCAAGTACATGTTTTTAATAGAATTCAAGTAAGTTAACAATTACGTTTACTTAAGTAGATTTTCTACATTTTAGACCTTTTAAATTAGACTATAACGTACACAATATGACGTGTTTACCAGGTGATGTAAACAATACCCCTGTGCAATAACATTTTGTAGAAAATGGCTTGGAAAAAAAATCCTATTTGACGTAGTGCATGGTATTGCATGAGTAATTAAGTTTCAGGTACTTACGTAAATACTTACATAGTTAGAGGGCTGGGATTTCCCGAGCATAGCCAGTTCGAGTTTAAGGTATGCGACACAAACCTACTCTAATATCCCTTGCCTGCCATTTTCTTCCTATCTTAGCCACTTTCCCTTTCATATTGAAGTTATAATTTTCCCATGTAATTCCTACAAGCAATACGTCTCTGCGTACTCCATTGGGAAAATAGGCACATAAGTATGCATGAGCGTACTCCTTCCTCAAAGGCCGGCAACGCGCTTGTTCATTGGCGCGGTAGTCGCTTTCCATCAGGTGACCAGTAGGGTGTCCCGAAATTTTTTTTATTCTTATTTTAGCTACTTAAGAACTCTCAAAAGTTGCGCTGTTAGACGTAGATTGGCGTAAAAATAATTCAAAAAATATTTAAAAATATCCTTAGGGCTCTACCAGCATTTTTATTTACTGAAAATTCGCAAAAACAACCTTGTAGTCAATGTCGTATATTCTATGTTTTATGAATCAATCCTGTTTTGTCTTGTAATTTTATCAATAAGAAAAGCCTCGGCTATGATTTGCAAGTATCGACAGGTTGTTTTAGCGATCAATCGGTTTGGATCGGACTTGCAAAATTCCTACAAAATTCATGTTTTGACTTGATTTTCGTACGTGCGCTACTTCTACAACAAGACAGTTCGTCTCATTTCTATTACGATTTTACTCTTGTAAGGAGTTGTTCTATTCTTCTTTGAAAGAAAAACGTAATTTGCGTTACTTAATCATAAAAATGTGTTCAAGGCGAAGTGAGACTACTTGTACTATATTGGGACCTTATAAAGAACTTGACGATCGCCAATTACCTGTTATAAAAGACGTTATTAAGTGCATTTTATTTACTAAAAGTGAATTAAAACTACAGAGAAACGGAAAAGATCCATCGAACACAGAAGTCTTTTCAATAGTTTCTGGAAAAATTAACACAATTTGGACCAAAGCTTCAATTCCCATCGTTTCTAACGTACGGGTTACTCAACTGCTAACCGCATATTTTAACAAATATTTATCACTAATAAGATATCCTAAAAGTAAGAGAAACGATAGCTATGACAACAAAGTTAAGTGCTTTTTGGAATCGTCAAATAAGCTTTTTGACATCGCTGCTTGTAAGTGCACTTCGTTTGAAAATTGTTCCTGCACTAAACCCAAGAAAGTTCGAATTTCTGAAAGAGATTTTTTACTGGACCAAAGAAATGATAGGAAAATGGCAATAAGCCGACGCAAAAAAAACTGAAAGGCTTTTAAAGAAACATCAAAGACAAGAAAATTTGAAGCGGACAGAGCAAGCATGTTTTCCGAGTACTTCACAAACCGATACTGTACCGGTACGCGTGTTGCCGCCTCGTTCACAGTAGCTTTCAATAGAACCTTCTACTAAAAGTGACTTAAAGGAGTCTCCATCTAATTCATTTAGTCGGAACACTCTAACGCTGCCAACAGTAGCTAAGGTATGTGATGGATACGGACTATCAACGCGTTCGGCAGCTGCGATTGATAAAAATAAGATTCACAGAGCTGTTTCAAAGTCACGTACCCAAACCAGCAAAGACATCGATAAAATTATTATAAAGAGTATCTACTTCGATGGGCGAAAAGATAAAACTCTCAAGATCAATAAAATAGACAGCCGGTAC